TGACTGGTGACAGTGGGGGGGTGACTGGTGACAGTGAGGGGGGGGTGACTGGTGACAGTGAGGGGGGGTGACTGGTGACAGTGAGGGGGGGTGACTGGTGACAGTGAGGGGGGGTGACTGGTGACAGTGAGGGGGGGTGACTGGTGACAGTGAGGGGGGGGTGACAGTGAGGGAGGGGGTGACTAGTGACAGAGGGAGGGAGATGGTGACTGTCACTAGTCACCCCATCCCTCCCTCTGTCACTAGTCACTCCCTCCCTAACTCTGTCACTAGTCATCCCCTCCCTCACTCTGTCACCAGTCACCCCATACCTCCCTCTGTCACTGTGTCACCCCATCCCTCCCTCTGTCACTAGTCACTCCCTCCCTCACTAGTCACCCCCTCCCTCTGTCACTAGTCACACTCTCCCTCACTCTGTCACTAGAGTGAGTGGGTGACTAGTGACAGAGTGAGGGAGGGGATGACAAGTGACAGAGGGAGGGGGTGACTAGTGACAGAGCGAGGGAGGGGGTGACTAGTGACAGAGCGAGGGAGGGGGTGACTAGTGACAAAGTGAGGGAGGGAAGGGGTGACTAGCGACAAAGTGAGGGAGGGAAGGGGTGACAGAGTGAGTGAGGGAAGGGATGACTAGTGACACAGTGGGGGGTGACTAGTGACAGTGAGGGGGGTGACTAGTGACACAGTGAGGAGGTGACTGGTGACAGTGGGGGGTGACTAGTGACACAGTGAGGACGAGTGACTAGTGACAGTGGGGGGGTGACTAGTGACAGTGAGGGGGGTGACTAGTGACAGTGAGGGGGGGGTGACTGGTGACAAAGTGAGGGGGGGTGACTGGTGACAGTGAGGGGGGGTGACTGGTGACAGTGAGGGGGGGGTGACAGTGAGGACGGGGTGACTAGTGACAGTGGGGGCAAGTGGACTAGTGACAGGAGGGGGGGTGACTGGTGACAGTGAGGGGCAGACAGTGAGGGTGGGTGGACTAGTGACAGTGAGGTGGGGGGGTGACAGTGAGGGTGGGGTGGACTAGTGACAGGAAGTGTGACAGTGGGGGGTGACTAGTGACAGTGAGGAGGGGTGTCTGGTGACAGTGAGGGGGGTGATTGGTGACAGTGAGGGGGGTGTGACTAGTGACAGTGAGGGGGGGTGACAGTGAGGGTGGGTGACTAGTGACAGTGAGGGGGGGTGACAGTGAGGGTGGGTGACTAGTGACAGTGAGGGGGTGACTGGTGACAGTGGGGGGGTGACTAGTGACAGTGAGGGGGGTGACTAGTGACAGTGAGGGGGGGAGGGGGTGATTGGTGCCTACCTGTCTCTCTGCTTCCTCGGCTCTCTCCCAGGCTGCTACTCCTTCCCCATGCTGGGCTCTGTGTGAAAGGAGTAAACAGGAAGTGAGGTCACTTCCTGGCCCCGCCTCTCCCATCACACAGAGCCGCATGGGAGAGGAAGCCGGAGACCTGGCAGAGGAAGGTGAAGCTGCCAGGTCTCATTGGGGAGGGATGTCAGTATATATCGGGCTGAGGGTACTTCTAAGTGTGGTGTGGGTGCTGCCGGCTTAACGCGTGTTTGTAGTATATTCTTAACCCTTAGGTATTTAAAGATGTCTCTTGGGTTGAGGGAGAATTTGCTTTGCAGAGTGGGGAATGTTTTCAGTTCGTTTTGGGTGTATAAATCTCTTACTTTATGTATTCCTAGGTTTGACCATGTGAGGGAGAGGTCGGGTGAGCTGGTCTGCAGTACAGTTAGCGGTGCTTCCTTAAGTAGTGTCTGTGCATCTATTACCTCTGGACCCCAACGTTCCCAAGTGTGTAGTGTTGTTTGCGTGCACCATAGTCCCTCTTTACCTACTGACTTAGGCTCGTGGGACCAGAGAACATTTGGGATAGTGGCTGGGTGTATACAGGCATTTTCGAGGGTCAGCCATAGTGGAGTTTGGTCAGCGCCCGTGGTTCGGATTATACGCAGGCCTTGTGCAAGGAGGGATGCTCGGTAGTAGTTGCGGATGTCTGGCACTCCCAGGCCTCCTCTCGTGTATGAAAGGCTTAGTTTGGCAGCAGCCAGTCTGGGTGGTTTACGTTTCCATACGTGGGCGTTGATTATAGTTTGGAACCTTTTTAGCAGTTTGGCTGACAAAGGTATGGGAAGTGTGCGAAAGAGATAGAGCACATGTGGCAGGATCATCATTTTGATGGTGTTAATGCGCCCCAACCATGATACCTCCAATCCCTCCCACTTGTTCATTTGGGTCATTAGCTTATGAATCATAGGTGTGTGATTTTCCGTAGTTAGTGAGTGCACATTTTTTGTCAGTTTTATCCCCAAGTATTGAATCGATTTTGTCCGCCAGTCGAATTTATGTGTTTCCTCCAGTGCTTTAATTATGTTACTTGGTAAGCCTATGGGGAGGGCTTGGGTTTTGGCTGCATTATTTTTGTAGTATGATACCGACCCATACGAGTTCAATGTTCTAGTGAGAGCCGGGATAGATTGTATCGGTTTTGTCATAAACACTATTATGTCGTCCGCAAAAAGGGACAGTTTTTGCTCCCCTGTTGGGGTGTTAAGCCCTCGGATTGAGAGGTTGTTTTTTATGTTATAGATCAGGGGTTCCAAGCACAGGATAAAAATGAGTGGGGAGAGTGGACAACCCTGGCGTGTGCCATTGCGGATATTAAAGGCTTTTGAGAGGAATCCGGTGTTATATATTTTTGCCGAAGGGCAGCTATATAACGCCAGAATACTAGTTATGAAGGGTTGGGGGAATCCCATGATTTCGAGTGTCTTTGTCATGTATTCCCAGTTCAGGCGGTCGAACGCTTTTTCAGCGTCGAGAGCCAGGAGAATTCCCTGTTGGTTTGATTTATGTGCCCATTCTATTAAATTGATAAAGTGTCTTGTGTTGTCTCCTACCTGCCTTCCGGGGACAAACCCTGCTTGCTCTTTCGAGATTAGTTTGGGTAGGAATGGTTTTATTCTGTTAGCTAATAGTTTAGCGTAAAGTTTGATATCAGCATTTAGTAGAGAGATGGGTCGGAGATTGGCACATATAGTGGGGGGTTTGTTGGGTTTGGGAAGGGTCACGATATGGACTTCCAGCATTTCTGGCGGGACAACTCCTACTCTTTTAATATGGTTGAAAAGCTTGGTGAGGTGTGGGGTCAGAGTGTCTCCAAATATGTGGTAGTAGTGGTTTGTTAACCCATCCGGGCCTGGCGCTTTGCGTTTTGGTAAGGACTTTATTGTAGAGCGAATTTCCTCATCCGTGAATGGCTTTTCCAAAGAGGTTTTCTGTTCTTGGGTAAGGGTCAGGAGGGTGATGTCATTAAAGAAGGCTTGTATGTCTCTCTTTGTGGGTTGGTGAGTATTTCGGTCATTATCTAGTTGGTAGAGCATGGCGTAGTAGGAGGCTAATTCCTCCACCATGTCTTGTGGGTTGAAGAGTTTGTCGCCTGTTGCGGACGTAATGTATGGTAGTTTGGAGGCTTGATATCTCTTTTTAAGTCTCCTAGCTAGCAATTTCCCTGCTTTATTGCCCTCGACATAGTGGGATTGTTTGAGATAGCGCATGTGCCTTTCGGTGTTGTTCAGGTCTATTGCATGTAGTTGGAGCCGTATTTGTTCTAATTGTTTCTGACAATGTTTTTTGGGTTGTTGCTTGTGGGAGGCTTCTAAAGTTGTGAGTTTCGATATCAGGTCATTTTTCTGCAAGCATGTTCGTCGTTTGTTTCTAGCTCCCATTTGAATGAGTGCCCCTCTTATTACCACCTTGTGTGTTACCCACTGGGTTGTAATGTCTGTTGTGCAGTTTGCGTGATTCTCAAAGAAGTCGGTGATTTGTTTGTTTAAGGTTTTGGAGTTGTCTGGGTTGTCCACCAAAGCTTCGTTCATGCGCCATGTGCCCCTTCCACGAGCCGGGTACGGGACGCGAAGCATAACCGTAAGCGGCGCGTGGTCAGACCATGTTATTGGACCTATAGAGACGTCAACAAGGTGTATTAGGGTGCTCTTGTCAATGAGGCATAGGTCTATCCTAGAATATGTCATGTGGACCGGGGAATAGTACGTATAGTCCCTGTCTGCGGGGTGGAGGCATCTCCATGAGTCATAGAAGTCATGTAGCGTGATTAATTTGGTCATGTGATGTCCTAGTGAGATAGACGTGTTTTTGGGGCCTTTGTTCCCCGTTCGCTTTACCTCCGCAAATGGGTCAGTCGTGCAGTTAAAGTCACCACATAAGATTACATGGCCGCTCTTATATCTGTCTAGTTTTCTCATTGCTGAGGCGAGAAATTATTTTTGGCCCTCATTGGGTGCATATAGTGAGGCTATAGTGATTTCTATACCGTTTAAGGCTCCTACCAGTATAAGTAGCCTACCGTCCCTGTTGGTGTGCTGTTTGCTCATCGTGAATGCCCAATCATCATGGAAGAATAAAGAGACCCCTCTGGATTTAGTTGGGGAGAAGGCGTGAAAGGCCTGTGCATACTGTTTCACTGAGAATTTCGGAGGGTTGCGTTTACAAAAATGGGTTTCCTGCAGACAGGCAATTGCTGCCTTGGATGAGCGCAGTTCCTGCGCAGCTAACCTCCGTTTGTGGGGGCTATTAAGGCCTTTAACGTTAAGAGAGAGTAGTTGTAGTGTGTTAGCCATCAGGTTTGTGGTTCGGGGAATTGGGTGTAGTTAGTGCTAGGCATTCAACTGGGGGGGAACCACTGCGCCTTGTTTTAATGCTGCGTGTATCGGTTCGCTCCTCTAAGGATTGGCTCAGTGTACTCATGGTGTGGGAGTGTTTGCCTGGTTTCAGGTGGCTTAGCCGGGTATTGGACAGTGGTAGGTACATGAACATATGCATAAACATTAATAAAGACAAAAAAAACATAAACAAAGTATATACATGATGCCCCTTGGGGTGCGGGCATTGTACTTGGTTGGTCTGCGGGCCGCTCCTGGACCAGGCAGCGGATCAACCTGGGAGGCGTGAACTGAGGTGTGCTGCCGTGTCAACGGCCCTTTAAACAAATGTGAGAAGTAAGGCGTCTCGTTGTGTAGAAGGTTGTTAATCTGTTTTTTTGTGTCGCCCTGCCAGAGCCTATGTGTGAACTCCTATGGAGTTGGTATCTGAAATGGGCAATGTTAGTATGTCAATCGTGTCAATACATACATACATACATATTGGTTTCTCTTCAGTTGAGGGATGTCACACATAGTCCTGGTCTTTCTTGTGCTTCTTATGCTTAGTCCCGTTACACATTTTGTTGTGGTTGCTGTGGCTTAGGCGAGCCCGCCATGTGCCATTCCGTCGGCAATCGTTGGTGCACATAGGGTTTCTGTGAAGGAGGATCTTTGGTCCCAAATAGTCCCCATTTTCGTAGGAGTTGTAGGCCCTCATCAGGAGTGTCGATATTATGATGCGTGTTGTCCTTCCATAGTAGGAGTTTAGTTGGGTAGCCCCAGCGGTATTGTATGTTATGATTGCGTAGAGTCTTCGTGACTGTGATGAATTCCCGTCTTCTTTCCATGGTAAGCGCCGATAGATCTGCGTATACCTGGATGCCTTGGTATGGTGAGGGGAGCTGCTGTAGTTTGCGCGCCGTGGCCATCAGTGTTTCTTTTGACTTGAAATAGTGGAATCTGACCACCGTGTCTTTTGGTGTGTCATTTGCGAATCGCGGTGGCCGAGGGATGCGATGGGCCCTGTCCATAAGCCACCTGTCCTTCTCTATGGCCGGTGCCAGAGTGGTGCAGAGGCCTGTTGTATAGTCAGGGAGTGCGTCATGGGGTACACTGTCGGGGATGCCTCTGAATCTTACGTTATTGCGCCTGGAGCGGTCTTCCAGATCTGCCGTTTCTCTTTTCAGTATTAGGTGTTCTTCCCTGAGCGCCTGCAGTTGTTCTGCAAGATCATTTTGTGTGGCGCATATTTCTTCCGTCCGTACCTCCAGGCGGTCTGTGCGGTCCCCAATGTCGGCCAGTTCCCGCTTAAATTCTGCAGTCATTTGTTTCATGTCCGCATTTAAGGTGGTTCTCAGTTCTTGCAGCATAATAAACAGCCTTTTTTCGCTGGCTGGTGCCTCTGTATACGAGGAGGGCGTTGTGTCAGTATCTGAGAGCTGATCTGGTGTCGGATAGCAGCCCATGCTGTCGTCGCCATCTTGCAGGGGCTTGCTTTTGTCTTTTCTGGCGGGTTTTATTTGGTCCGTCATTTTTAATTGTTTGGACGGTGCCATGTTGCTGTATCCAGTGCCGGGTGAGTTTTTACCGGGTATTGACCTCCGGATTCGCCTAAACGCTGCGTTTGGGTCCGTTGTAGCCGGGAGCTCCTACTCCATGCGACCGCACGCGCCGGCTGTCGGACACGCCCCCCCATTACTTTCCAAATTAACAACTCTGAAAACTTTTTCTCCTACATACATCAATCATACTTGCATTCAATTCCTGGGACTATCTACTCATCTGATAAGAACATCTACAACATAACTGGTAATTATGCTGGTTTTATTTAATTAATTTAAATTAATTAAAAATTTACTAATAGCAGGAATATATGCCTGGATAAATCTCGGCCAAATGTCAATTATTATAAATCTTCGTTAACTAAAGAATATATGGTTATAAAAATTCCATTCTGCAGGTGAAATAAACAATAAATTCATGATAAATTTGTCATAAATTAGCATACCGATATTTTTATCCAGATATTTCAATTTGCTCTGAAATAAGATAGTGTATCTTATGTAGGGAAATTAAAATTCGGCTAATGTAAAATATAGATTATTCTTATTGGATGGTTCCAGGAATTATTAATGATCTTGTATGAATATTGGTTTAATTGAAAATTGCAACAGAATAGAATATTATATATCTAGGAGGATTCTAGCCAGCAGGGTTACGGTTAGCCAAAGTTTTATTGCTTCGCGCTGTGCTGTGAGTTCTGTTTTAAGTGTCCTGTCATAAATCTTGTAAATTCTTGACAACTGGTTAGCCGCTGTATTGTGTTTAAACCATTGCCATATTATATGCCTATCTTATACTAAATATTCAGATTGTCACGCATGTTACATATTTATTATTGTCACAATAAATTATATTTTTATAAAGAAATTGTGATTTACTGTGTGGGGTAAAATCCTCTAGTGAAACGTTCTCTAGGATCTAAGAGAATTAAATACAGTGGGAAATTCTCAGCTTATTTAAAAAAAAAATTAAAAAAAAGAGAACAGTGCCAAGATATCAATTTTGCTATAATAATTTAATTTTGATAATTATGAAAATATTTTAAATATTTATCACCCCATAAATATCCCCACAGGCTCATACTTTAACCTTTGTATTATCACATTATATATACACACACACACAACATAGTTTTATTTGTATATTTCTTACGTATGTATTATTTGTGTATATCTTTTATGTGCATATTTTTCATGTGCACATGTTTGTTTACTTAATATTTTGATTTGATATTATGCACTTTATATTCATATTCCACTTGGTATTTTTAATTATTCTGATTTCAAATTATGTAATTTATACCCAGTTTTTACAACATTCTTATTGTAGATATTTTATCTTTTATGCAGCAAGCAAAAGCATACAATAATTTGAACTACAACATAGGACCTTTTTAATATTGTAACATGTGTTATCTATTGATCTGCTCTATTTTTTCTTATTTTGTGCATACTTAAATTATATGAACGCTATCGGACCGATTTAATAATTCTGTTACGGTACCTCCAGTAGTAAATGCATAAACCGCCGTTTAGTGAATGCTCCCCGTTCGCAATAGTCTAGTAGCGTATGCAGTATAACCATGCGAACCGCCAGCTAGGGAACACTCCAAACTCCCGAACGGTACCTGTACAGCTCCTTCCCTTCACGAGCTCCAAATACATGAATCACCACTAACAGACGAACGGCAATAGTTTCCAAGCGGCAAATAATCCCAATAAGCAGTCTCTAGTAATAAAATCCCCCCCAATAACGAGACCAAGCTCCGCTTTGAGGGTAAAACACGAACTGAGTTTACTGTGGGCTACCTGCCCGTATTTATGCAGGTCTCCGACTTGGTGGACACTCCCCTAGGGGACCAAATGGGAGACTGAAATAACAGAAGGACATGGGGACATTCATCCCCACAATATTCCCAGCATGCATCACAGTTCCCTCCCCTCTGCTCTGGAGGTAATTGGGAAGTAATTCAATTATCTCCCAGAGTAGAGGCAAATCGCCATTTTAACTCACAGTTACAAAACATTAAAATACATAACTTTATAACTGCCGAACGTATTGCATTCGTATAACACATCCCCAGATAGCCTGGATCGGAGTGCATATTATTGGCAAATAGCGCTCGGATCCCATACGCACAGTTCAATCGCCATGGAGTCAAAGTCTATTACAGTTCTTCGGTATGCGATTGACTCCATGGGAAGGCTATCTGGGGTAAGTCCATTCGTGTTGTTAAATCTCCCGAACAGCCGGTATTCGTATGCTTTTGTTGATTGAGAAGGGGAGGTCGACGGCTTCAGCGGTGTTCGGTTGAAAAAGTGTCCGTTTTGAGTTCTATGAAATAATCGAACACCGCTGGGCTTTCGCATAGTCAAAATGGACGCCACCTCGTGGTCGACATACGAACGACGACCACTCGGTATTCGGTTTTAATTGAGAAGTGTCTGTGGTTAACCGCAACGTTCTAATTGGGATCAATAGGTTAACCAGCAGCACACTTCTCTTCTGGGTGGCCGTCCGTTCGGTAGTTCCGTTCGACAAAAAAAAATACATTCCCTTAAACAAGGCATACGAATGGGGAAATTCATGCAAACTGCAAAACAGACGAACACTGTACTTTTAGTCCATATGGATGGGTCTGTCACAAATTCCCTCTATAATTGTCCGTTTTGTCTGAAATGTGTAGAGGGGAACGATTCAGTCGCAATGGGACACTGTCAATAAAGTTGAAACAGTAATATGAACGCTGAAGTGCGTTCCAAGACTGGCACAACTGCATTACACGAGTTTCAGCCACAACGGAAATTAAAATCAAGATCGGGAGTCAGCAATTTCCAATTACCGACAGCATATAAAGAAACTACTGATCCTGAAAGGAGATGAGTAACTGAGTAAGCCTCTGTAGTAGGTTTAGCTCGTATTGCTATTCATGTGAACACTACTGTAAGATTTTTAATTGTATTTACATTAAATGTTTATGTTTTAACCCTCACACTGCCTGAGTGGATCGTTTGAAACAGTCAGAGGACAGATTAACAACTACCTCATTGGAAGGGAGTGGGATCCCCTACAATTATCCCGCAGGCGTTAATATTGAGCCATATTCATCTGGCTCTCTCCTTGTTAGTTACCTTATCACACAAGTGCTATTTAGCTACCTCTGTACTTTACGATGCTGCACTAGGTGCTTGTCAATACTTTTGCATTCCTGTACACCACTTTACATCCTTGACCCAAGAACCAACGATACTCCACCTACTGTGTATGTATATGTTTATATGTTCTTCCTTCACCATCAGAAGTCTGGCCATGGTTTTGGAAGGCCAGCACATCTCTTCCTCAGCCACCACTATTAATAGTAGTAGTCAACCTGATAATAGTGGAATTACCAGCATGTCCTTTTCGTCCAATTTTATAGCAGGATGCAATTGATTTGTAAGTAAAAGGTAAAATTAAGGTTAGGGGGGTGTCAATTCTAGAATTACGATTCAAGTTGCCGCCACGAAGACTGGGGAAATCCTTTGAACTGGCAGCAAATTTGAGTTATAGTGGCCATTATAGTTAAGCCAAATGACGTCAAAGTCAAAGATTTGTTTTCTATACTTTGCAACAAACTAGTGATGATGCTACCACTGTAGATCCTATCACAGAAACAAATAATTCAATAAAAAAAAAAAAAAAGGCACTGTTTGTCAGATATAGTCTATAAAGCATAGAATAGAAAAAAAAAAAAAAATCAGGGACACACTTTAAACTGTCATTTCAAAGTTTGCTTAGTTACATTTCAGTCACTCATTTACCCAGTATCATACGAGCCTATCCTCTCTTCAGTCAATATACCATTCACCTCGTCCATTAAGAGTTATTTAAAAATGCATCCACCTCCACAATTTTCAAATCTATTAACCTATTTGACAAAAGACAACATTTTTAGGTTTACATCATATTTTGTTTATTTGCTCATCTATTGCAAGCTACGTGAATTCACACTATGGATCCAATTTGAAAACAGCTTGGCGAGAGAGATTCTATGATCCATACGCGTCTGTTAAACTCTAGTCCTGTGACCAAACCCAAAAATTGTTTAACGGTAATGCTGTGCACGCTGCCCATTAATTACATTCTTGAATCTCTGGCAAGATTACAGCCTTTGAGGGGAGAATAATGGCAGCCATGGTTGATCTGATCAACTACGTTCTACTAGAAAATAATTAAACACCTAGTCTTCTGTGGCACTAAAATGGTTATGCACCCCTTGTTCCTTAGGATTTAAGAAGTTTAAACATACACTCCATGCTAAAAAGTGCCACTAGCCAAGTTCTTTCCAATATGGAGAGGGTGAGGTATAATAATCCTTCATATACCGTCAAAACAGAATTACAGAGATGAATAGCTTAAGTACACAAGGACAAGATGCAAACGTTGTAGTGTTTAAACATGACCCTTACTGTGGTCATATCAATGCTAAACTGGCATGAACCTAAGCCTGTTTAGTACCTTTTTCTACTGCATTTCTGTCAAGAAGAGGAGTGTTAAAATTATCAAAAAATAATATAAATCAAGTTTATTTAAATTATTTGGGGGGGAGGGGCAGGAGGTCCACATACTGTGGAGTGTGTATAGAGTAAGGGGCCCTCAGATTATTTCTATGAAAATTGCATTTGTACACTGTGCACTTTACAGATAAATTAGAATATTGATATCAGAGGATGGGACTATGGATTAAGTAACTACTGTACACAGTTTAGGTTATGAAAAAAAATGTGCATACAAATTTCCTCATATTAAAGTGTCACATTATCCATGCTGGTAATGTACTTTGTGAAAAACACATTTACTACTGTGATTCTCCTCCTTAAAAATAGTAGGCGTTAAACAGTTTACAAGAAAACAGTGGGGGAAATCTATAAAACGGTCACTCATAGAACAGCAAGCAGAGTTCTGAATGGTGAGCAATAACCATGGAAACAAAAGTCAAGTGGTTTCTGTTGATTCCATTGGTTTAATGGATAGTACCACTTTCCTGAGACAGATTTATAAACCTCCCCTATAGTTGCAAAAAAAAAAAAAAAAAAGCTCAGAAAGGGCATGTAACCTCCATAATGGTTAAATTTGAACACTTGGTGCATTACCCAGTTTTACACAGTAGTAGAACAAGTCTACCATCAACAATAACCCCAAAACGTAACATTTCTGTTCCAAACCACTGCAATAGACCATGTAATGTCAAGCAGTGCAGAATAGTGTGAGTTAATGGTGCAAAAACAAAATAAAAAAATTCACATTTTGCTAATTTACATTGAAATCAACTAATATTTAAATTCACAATGTCACGACTGAATAGTTCATTGAATGGGCTGCTATTCACACTTTATAGTAAATTTTAGCGTCTGACCAAAAAAGGTGTGTAAAAGGAAAAAAAAATTTATAAAAAATAAAAAAAAAAAATTAAAAAAAAATAAAAAACCACACACACAACACAAGTGGGAAAGGGCAATAGGTGGAGCATCACATGTAAACCTTGCGTGCAAGTATCTTTTATCAGAGCGCTGGAGGGCCAGCTGAGAAAATGGAAGATGGCAACAAGTCCATGTCATAAAGTGGAACAGGACATTCTCAAGTGAAGGTGCAAGTAGTAATAATAAAGATTTTTTTAATATATATTTGTCTTTTGCTTTGCTTAACAGCACCGAGTGCAGACAGATTAGCAATGTGCCTTCCCAAACACAATGTGACTGGTGGCAATTATCAAGCAGGTGGAAGGGAGATATGGCACAAGGAGTGTCTTCAAAGCCTAGCTGGCCCAATATGACTTCAGTATGCAAAATATTGCAAACCAAAACATGAAATGAAGAGGGTTAGTAGGAATGGAGATTAAAATTCCCATTTGCAGGCAGGGAAAGTCTCTCCCTGCATGGAAACACTGTTGGTACTGCCGCAAACTCTAATTCCCAATGATTGCTGAAGTACATGCGTCTCCTGATACCACTCATGGACTGCTGTGGATTCAAACGTTGGAATGAGGGTCACCTAGAAATCAAAACATAATTCAATATTATAAGGATGACTTGATATAATGGTTCACTTGCATGAAATTTTTTAATACATTGATCAAATTTTTTTTTTTTTTTTATTGTTTCCCATGCAATTAAAAAACAAGAAACTCCCTTGGTTCCTACTAGTTTTATGCCGTTCATAGGCAAGAAGAAAATGGTGGGCTCGAGTGAGCTTTCCTCAGCGGTCAGATTAGTATAAGGTTTCAATCAAAGAACAGGGATGTCTAAATGGTATATTCTCAGAAGTTGCAGAACTAAGACTACCAATATGCTTTGTCATTCTTTAGAATGGAAAAGTATCATGGAAGTTTTAGTACTATAACATTTGGGAATCTATCTTTTGAGCATCCTTCCATAGGAGTCGTGTTTAGTGACATGTTACATATTCGCCCATCAAAGCAAAGACCCAGCCAATGAATCTTAGCATCACAAGTTGGAGGGAAGAGAGACTACCCAATTAGTCCTTAACCTTTTGCGTAGGTTCTAAATCACCAATCTGTATATTTTTTTCCTTTTCATATAACAAGAAGATTTAAGTAAGACGGTCAACCTGGCCAGCAAGTGGTGCAGATATCTTAGAGAGGTCTATGTCAAATAATGTAACATGCAATAATACAGTGCACCTTATTTGTGGGATAGTAGTGTGATGCATTTCATATTCATTAACCCCTTCTAAACCTGATGTATACATTTTGAGTTCATCATTGTGGATTCTTTAGTGATTTGTAGACTTTGCTGAGGTAGAAATACTACACACTGCTAGTTAGTGCATTAATGAAGAGAGCATCTGTAGATTTAAAATTAACTATAGCACTCAAAATTTAGAGGACACTTTTACAAAAAAAACACACACACATTGGGAAATTTTTAAAATATATATATATATATATATATATATATATATATATATATATATATATATATATATATATATATATATATATATATATATATTTTGTGTGTGAATATTTACATTATTTTCTTTGAACACTTTCATATGATTAACTATAACTAGTTATTGGAAAAGTCTGATCACTCACATGTAACAGAGCCTACAATTATTTGCTGCGTTACATGTGACTTGCCAATAACTAGTTGTGTTTTTCAGTACCATCTGCACTACATTGTCGTATACCATTTCATAGATACTTAGTTTTTGTGGGTTAAGGATAGAGAGATATAGATACACAAAAATAGATAGCTTGGCACTCACCCTGTCTCTCATTAAATAAATATCTTGATGCCTTGGTGCAATCCCATAGAATATATGGAGAAATAAGAGATGCACTCTCAGGTCTTTACAATAAATCAGTTGGTATTATTAAATAAAAAGGTTACATCATCTGACCGACATTTCGACCCTACAGGGTCTTCCTCAAGAATTTTGAGGAAGACCCTGTAGGGTCGAAATGTCGGTCAGATGATGTAACCTTTTTATTTATTTAATAAATACCAACGGATTTATTGTAAAGACCTGAGAGTGATAGAATCTCTCTCTATTTTTTTTTTTTTCATTCTCCACTAAAAGTTATAGGTGTGGCATAAGTTTGTTTGAACTTTCCATCAGCGTTGAAGAAACACCAAAGTAATTTTATTTATAATTCTGGCACACAAATGCTTATAACATTTTCTCTGAACATCATGCAAGCAACGTTGTTAATTATATGCTTAAACATTTCCTTGGCTAGATTCTTATTTAGTGCTGTGATAAAAAGCACTGTCTGCCTACCGGAAAACAACCTTGTAAGCTTTGACAGATTCACCTCTAAACAGATTTCTTAGAGAAAATGTAAAGGAAAACAAATTAATAAGACAGACCTGCATGTCTTGTGGCCAGTGTTTTTTTCCAGCAAGTAGAGAGTCCAAAATCTGGCGAGTGACTTTTTCCTTTGCAGGGTCATCCCCACTGATTATGTAGCAAGAAGAGCGTACACACTTAAAAAATTCTTCCTCTATTGTAAATGCCCCATATCCACCAGGCAAGTAAGCAAGATCAACATAAACTGGTAGAGGTGGAGGTGAGGGAGAGCTGGACTGGGGTGGTTTCATAGGAGTGACTAAGAGATAAGAGACATAGATTAGGTAGGTTGGTATGTATGTAACACACACACACGTTGGAAGTAAAAAAGAAGTTATGTTAGGACACTTGCACGAACAGATTTTACACCCCACAGATATAAAGCATACAACATGCTTGATGTGACATTAAAGGTTGCCTACCTGAAGTTCTGCTTACTCCAGGGGCAGCTTTAGCGACATTTCCAATGCTGCGCCTGCCTATAACTTGTTTGGCATCCACTCCTGGGCGTGGGTTCGGGAGAGCCTTTCCTGTTCTATCTGAACCAACCCTGGTCTTAATTCCAGGTGTCTTTAAACTGTCATTCTTAGGGTTGGAGGCAGAGGGAGGACGGGGTGATGGCTTCTTCTCCCCATGGTTAGTATGCATGACTTCTGGGTCAACCATGCATGTGCTTGGCTGCGGTGGCATGGGTTGGGGATCACGCAGAGGGGCAGGAATGGGATCTAAAGGTCTGGAAGAATTGTCTACATCAGACTCAGACTCTGCATCAACAGCAATAGAAGGATATTCATCTGGGCCAGAGTCAGAAATGGTTGGCAGCGATTCACTGACTGAAGTAGGAGGTGTTTCTAATCCATTAGGCAAGTTTTTGTCTGTAGAGCACAGTGGTTTTGCTAGCTCCTGAGAGAGGTCACTATCGCTATCCCTGGGACTTAGCACAGCATCAGATTTAGGGTGCTCAAATTCACAGGGGGATACCAAGCATAGATCAACATCATGGGGAGATGCAGATCTCTCAGACGGTCTTTCATGCTCTAGATGTTGAGGGGAGCGCACTGGCAAAGATAAAGTTCCTTTGTTTGGAGTGTGCAATTCTGGAGATACATCTCTAGGTGACTCACTAACTGGAGGAAGGGTCTGCTCAAAGGAAGAGATGGACAGGGATTCATCAACCTCTGTTGAGTGTGGAGAGCCCACCTCAGCAGGCAGAGATGGGGTTGTTATTGTTGGAGAAACATCAGGGATGTCTTCACGGAATGGACTTAAAGATAAACAACTGGTGTGTCTTCCCTGTGATGAATTTGAATTTTCTTGAGATGATTTGGGTGGAGCTCGCCAAGAGGACGAGTTCATACTCCTTCCATCTGTAGAGGGAATAGATTGGCTACAATTCTGACCCAGCAGTGCTGGAGAGCAATGGTCTGAACTCGCTGGAGAAGCCATCTCTAGAGTCCTTTCATCTGAACTACCACAGAGATCAGCCAGTTCATCTCTCACTTTGTCTTGCACTTCTAAGGTGGTGGGTGTCAGATCAAAATTTACACTCTGTTCACTTCTAGGAGTATTAGCCAGTGGTGACACTGGAGCCAGTCCCTTAAGAGGACTGGTCTCCAAGTAACGAAATCCACTGGGACTTTCCGGCTCCTCTGGACACAAACCATTCTCTGCACAAGCAGCTAAATGCACATTTGTTAGTTTTGAAGGCTCATCGCAGGCACCCTTTTCACATTCTTCACTAGGCTCCCGTGTCCCCTCTGCAGTGTTGCCTGAATTTTGAATGGTACCATCAATCACAAGTTTCTCCACAGAGTGCTTAGTCAGCTCCCCGCTGACTGGCTTCGGTGTAGGCTTTCCTTTTCCAACTACTTTACCAGACGTATCCTTTTTTACAGAACTAACCTTAGAAAGAGATCTACGGGTGTCTGTAGGTGTTTTGATACTTTTCCTAACGTCTTTAGTGGCAGTTTTTACGTTTTTGCCTTCATCTCCCTTGAAGTCTTTCCGAGGATCATCTTTAAGATCTCTTCGTGGAGTCTCCACTCTACCATCAATAATGGGTCGCATATCCTTCTTGCCATCTTGTTTTGTTACTTCCTTTTTATCAGTTTGACCTTCATCTCTTTTTATTGGTGGCTTCTTTTCCTGTTCTTTCCTAACAAATACTTTATCTTTAGTGGCCTTCAACCTTGAATCTTGCTTAGGTTTATCAGCCGATTCTTTCATTTTGACCTTGGCCTCTTTCAGCTTTGCTCCCTCAGTTCCAGTATCTTTGGAAGGTACTGTTTTAATTTGTTCTTTCCCTTCAGATTTGGCCTCTTTCCTCTCAAATTTAATTGGTTTCTCTTTGCTTATAACCTTGTGTTCAATACTAAGCCGGCCAGACCCAGATCTTATGCTCTCCTTGCTGTCTGTCCGTCTGGGTATTGCTCCACTTCTATTACTACTTTCAATCAATTCCAGATCCTTACGAGTTGTGACTGGATCCTTCAAAAAATCCAAGTGTCTTAGTTTCTCTAAGCCTTCCAAAATTTTGTTTTGAGGAGTACAACCTGGGAACAATACCCTCACAATCTTCTCAGTGGGTGAAGCGGGATGCCAGACCAATAAGGCACAAACAGAGGTTAGGCAGGAAATTGGCAAGTTGGAGCCCTTGTGCTTGTCACTTTCAGTCCATTGCTTGGAAAGGGATTCAAACTCTTTGCTGCCTTTAACTGGGTTCAATATGTACATTTCTAGTCTTCCCACACCCATCTTTTGAAACAGGATAGTTGGTTCCACCCTTGGTACATTAAATCTGTACAATGGTT